AAAAAAAAAAAAGTATTTGCATATGAGTATAATTAGATTCTAGAAGCTAAAAGCTACCCAATTTTGAGGGTTTAAGTGCAAAAGGCTTGGTGAGTGATTAACATAAATTATCTCATTTAGTTTCATTTAAAACTCCTAGCAAACATTTCTTACTTAGAGATGAGGATATTCAAAGTCAGAGAGGGTTCCTTCTATAACCTGGCCAAGGTCACTTAGCTGGTATGAGGTAGGTGTAGAAAACCAAGCATGGATAGATCTCAAACCCACTCTTTCCACCATTATGCTATCATCTGTCGTGTTCACATGGATATTTTTTCCTAACAGCTTTATTGAGATATAATTCACACACTATACAATTCATCCTCCACATAGATTTTAAGGAAAGCTTTTTTCATCTCTATTATAAGAACTTAGCTATAATTTATCTTATTCTCTCAAATTTCTGGTTATATAAAAAGATGGGAAAACAAAGCAAACTATAAAGAAAACAAACATCACTCATAATCTCACAGCTTGAACATTTACTATGAACAGTTTGGGGTATTTCTTTCTGCAGTTTTCTCCCTTTCTCTCCCATGGCTTCCCTCCCTCTCTCCCTTTGTCTTGTCTCCCATAAACAGACACAGGTACAAGTGTTCATATGTATATATAAATATACTTGATATTAAAGATACAATATTATATCATGCTTATTTAACATAAGGTGGTATTTTGCATGTTATTAAAATTTTTGAAGACATAACTGCAGATGGATGCATACTATTACATCATGTGCAGACACTGTGACTTATTTTGCCATTCAGTACTCTCGGCCCTTGAAGCTGTCCCTGAGCAACCAGCAAAGCAGGAGATAGTCCTTGTCCTCCGGGAGCTTACATTCTCATGGAAGTACTGCAAAGGGTTGTTATGAAAATCAAACAGTGAAGGATAACTACTCTACTGGATGATGGTGTGTGAGGAGAAGTCGAGTCTGCAGTAGAAGCCCTTTGGCACGGGGTCACCAGGTGACATGAAGCACACCCCTCTCCTGGAGGGATGGTGAACTGGGTACACTTCTTCTTCTCGGGTCATGGTGCATTAAGCTACGACCAGAGACAAGAGCCCCAGAACCCCCCATTCTACCTTTCTCTTGCTCGCAGCAATGACAGTGGGCAGCCACCGGCTCTCCCTGGTGTCCATCAACAGGAAAACAACATCGTGGCTTTCGATGAGCTGCTCCAGCCGCTCCACATCCCTGTGGGCTTGCTCCAGGGTGGCAGTGGAGAAGTTCACGGGATGTCCAGGCATGGCGATGTTCATGCTGAATCCCCTGGTGTTCTAGGGAAACACACACATATACAGGTGTCTGAAGCAAAGGCTGAGGTGGTATCTCAGAGCCCAAGAGTCTCCAGAGCTGCAAGCACATGTGTATGGCCACTTACAACAAGAAGCTTCTCTGCGTGATTATGCTTTTTCCTTTTGCTACCCGTGTGCTCCACACCTTCATCCCTTCTGCATCTAGACCTTGTCCTGTCACCCCAGCATGCCTAAGCCTGGATAATGCAGCGAACAGAGCCATTAGTATGCTAGTTCCAAAGTGGGAGGGGGGGCACTTTCCATTTATTAAGAAAAACACCAGAGAAAACTGTGTCTTTGGCTCTTTCCCATATTTGAGGCCAAGAAACTTAATCAAGATGCCCTCTGCCTAACCAAGTCCCTCTTGTCCAGAAAAGCTGTCACTCCCTTCTTGTTCCCAAATTGCCCTTCCCTCTGTTTCCTTAGGTATACATCTCCAAACTGTCTTATAACAAAAGACATTTCATTCAATAGATTCATGTAAGATTAGAATAATTTGATAGTCTTGCTTTAATCTTCCTAGGGGTGTATATATATATATATATATATTAAACCCTCAAAGCCAAAAAATTATACTTGCTAACTTTCATCCAGAAAATCTACTTAGGATTGTGTAGATATTTGTTTGGGGGCTGAGGGGTGGAGGGCTGGATGACAGTAGAGTGCTACTGAAGCAAAGCTTTATTCCCTGTCCAAAAGTAGAAGCTGCTTGGTAACCTGGGTTCTCCTCAAGCGCAGGGGGCGTTAGAAAGCTCTGGAATTTTCCACTTGCTCCCTGCTGGCCCACAGTATCTTGGCAGATTCAGTAAGTCATGTATGGATGCCAGTGAAGCCAGGGACATTAACTTCCCACAGAAAACAAAGTGTTCCAGAATCAGAGACTGCACCCTTAATACCCTGCATAGGGCTGGCCTGAGGGAAAGAAAAAACAGGAGCTTTTTCTTTCATTTGCCAAAACCCCTCACCTACTGGAAAATAGCTCAAGGGGCAGAGTTAAATAAGTAGGACCTCTCACAAAGGAAAATCTATTTTGTATATTGCAGCTATGTTCTCTTTATCTTAAACTTTAAACCAAATCTCAAGAAAGGGGCAGTACACACAGTGACCATTTTTAAAACAATAAAAAAAAAGTTGTAAGCAAAGCTGGAAGACGTCAGAAAGGACTTCAGAGAAAAGAAAGGTTCAAAATGGGCCCATTTTAACAAGGAGAACACCACAAAGACAACTCATTTGTTCCTTCATTAAGTATTGTGTATCTACTGGGTACAAAATACTGTAATAAACAGTAAGAAAAGCAACAGCCACAGTAGTAGTAGTAATAACATTAGTAATACTACCTTACTGTCTTAGTACACTTGACAAAGCATTTTAAGCAGCAGTAGTTTGATCCAAAAAGGTATTATTTAACCAAGATTAAAGTATAATTATTCAATAACAATTCTGACCTGTTGTGGGGTTTTTTTGTTTGCTTTTTTGATTGGAATAAAGTTGATAGACAATATTATATTGGTTTCAGATGTACAACATAGTGACTCGATAATTATATACATTAGTAGATGCTTGCCACAGTAAGTGTAGTTACCCCGTTATCATACCAAGATATTATAATAGCAGACCTTTTGAATAATACAGATCCTTACCCACACCTACTTCACTACCCTAAATAATTCTCGCTTGCAGACATTTCAGCCAGTAAGCCTACCTCAGACTGGCTCCTGGCCCACCACTGAGATCCACGTGCCTGAGGCTTCGATTCAGCAAGTTTCAATGCGGTAGTTTTCAACCCTGGCTGCACTTTAGAACCACCTAGTGAGTTTTAAAAATTCCTAATACCCAGGCTTTTCCCCAAACCATTTAAATTGGAATCTGTGAGAGTGGGCCCAGCCACGAATATTTTCTAAAAGTCCCCAGATGTGTAGTCAGGGTAAGGGAGGATTTACAGAAATAAAATACACAGATCTGAAATGCACAGCTGAATGTGTTTCAACAAACTGCAGATTAACCACTGCATATGCCTATCAAGATACAGACCATCCCCATTACCCCAGAATGAGCTGTTGTCCGCTTCCCAGTCAATCCCCAGCGCTCCCTGCCCCCACTGGGACCACCACTGTTCTGACCTTTTAAACCCTAGATTAGTTTTGCCTGTTCTAAAGCCTCATATATACGGTATCCTACTGTATATCCCTGTTGTGTTTGGCTTCTCTCAGCATAATGCTATTGAGGTTCAGCCACATTGTTAAATATCAATAGTGTTTCTTTTTGTTGTGTGGAATTACCTCGATTTAGTCCATTCACTTTCTTGGTGATGGCTATTTGGGTTATTTCTAAATTTTGGCTCTTCTGAGTAAAGCTGCTATGCACATTCTTGTATAAGTCTTTTAGTGTATATATGCTTTCATTTCTCTTAGGTAAATACCTAGGAGTGCGATATCTGGGTCATTAGGTGTTTTAGTTTCTTGAGAAACTGCCAGCCTGACTTACAAAGGAGTTGTTTTACCAGCAAACCATGAAGTTCTGGTTGCTCCACAGCCTGACAACATTTGGCACTGTCAGGGTTTAAACTTTTACCCATTTCATTAGGTAGGCAGTGACATATCTTTATGATTATAAATCATATTTCCCTGGTGACTATAGATGCTGGGCATTTTCATGTGTTCGCTGGCCATTTTCAGATCTTCACTATGAAATAAGTACCTAGACAAGTCTCTTGCCCCTTTAAAAAAAAACGGTTTGTCTTCTTATTGAGTGGTAGGAGTTGTTCACATGTTCTGGGTAAAAGCTGTTTGCCAAATATACACACAGTGAGTATTTTCCTGGTTTTGGCCAGACTTCTCAATCTTTTAAAGCATGTTTTGAGAAACAGAAGTTTTAGACTTTATCAATTTTTTCCCTCATGCTCTGTATTTATTTCCTGGGTGCTAAGAAATCTTTGACTGTTGCAAGATCACTAAGCTGCTTTCTCCTAGAAGCTTTGTAGTTTTACCTTTTATGTTCAGTTCTCAGGCCTGGTAGGGGTGTCACCTAATGGCTCAAAGTATTCAGCACGTCTCTCCACCCTGCAGAGCTGGGATTCTGTTGCCCCCAGCCTGTGGGAACTCTGGAATCTCCATTCTGCTCACAGCAGGATGGTGGTGCTTTCTGTCCAGCCTTGTAGTCATGTCCTGAGCACGTACAGCTTGATATTCAGTGCAACACTCAAGATGCTGCCCAGAAAATTTTCTGGTACTCCTCTGCACTGCTGTCATATGCCTGATACTTTGTCCTGCTGATCTCAATTGCCTCAGCTCATTAAGATCAAGGACATCTCCCTGGGCTCCCCATGGGCTCTGGCATGGGCCAGAAAGTGCCTCCAGGCAATGCATTGGGACAAAATTCTTTCTTTCCCTTCTGTCTAGGACCACAGTCTTTCATTATCTATTGCTCATTGTCTGAAGAGTCATATGATATATATTTCAACCAGATGCATAATTGTTTACAGCAGGAGAGCTAGTCCAATATTAGTTACTCCTCAGGGTAGGACACAGATACCCACAGCAGGGTTTTTAAACCCCTAGTGTGGGTCCATAATCCTACATTTTATTGCCTTGCCTTTAAAAAAAGATGGTGGCCTCAAATAGTTATTTGACTTATTAAAGGTCACTTTCTTCCTACCCAATCAGTTCAGCCTCAGGATTAGGCACGGTGTCTGTAGCAGGCAACTCTTTTCCCATCTTGTTCATGCAGGACTAACCTTTTGTCTGTGGTTTGGTGTTAGGCAGGTGATGGATAAGTATTTGTTGATGAGAAAAATACACCAAATTGAACATACAAAGAAAATTCCATAAGCTTGGCTAAACAATAAGTGAAATAGTTTCACAAACACTTTTCATGAAGTTGATGAGTTATACTAGTACTTTGATGGGTTCTATAAATTATCTATTATTATTTCTAAGGCAGTAAGGATAAAAATATGAGACCTGACTCCTGGCCTCAAGGGCTACATAATTCAATAGGGAAAAATGGTGGGCTGATGATTTCAAGAGAAGGTGAACTTGACTTCTAAGAGCCAGCATGATCTGGCCCTTGTTCCACCCCAGCCTGTTGTCTGTCTTCCTTGATCTGGTTTTCTTTCAGTTCCACAGAAGTACGACACTGATTCCCACCTCAGGTATTTTCACAGAGAGCTCTGCCAGCCTTAGTCTAGCTAACTCCCATCATCCTTCAGGACAGCTTCATCGAGGAAGCCAAGTCTAGGTCAGGCCTACCTGTTGAACATTCTCATGGCTACTGAGCTCCTCTTTCATCCACTTATTATAATTTTAATCATTTATGAAATTGGTTGTTATTGACCATGTCCCCCACGATACTATAAGCTCCATGCAAGGGAGATGGAACTTTGTCTTATTCCCAGGTCCCTACCACACAGGAAGCCTTAAATATTTAATGAATAAGTAATAGAATAACATCAAATAAATTGAGGGAATTGCATTAGGTCACAGACAGTGTTTAGAATTTAGACAAGCAAAAGTTTCAGGCAACTAGTAAGTGACAGAGCTCAGATTCAAAGCCAGGTCTGTCTGGGCCCCAAGCGTAGTTCATAATATTCTCCAGTGACAGACTGGATTATGTTCCTAAATATGCATTGCCTCCCTCTAACAGGATTGTATGTCTTTCTCCTATGACTTTGCAGGACCTCCCACTAGGAAGGCAGAGCACAGAGATGAACCCCAGTGACTTTCGGCTTGACCCTATGACTTGCCTTGGCATAGAGACAGAGAACATTGCACTGTGCCATTGTTGAGCTGAGACCTGAGAGGTCTAAGTTTTCACCAACTCTTTTACACTTCCACCTTCTCCTGTAAGAACAGCGTAACCCAGATGACTGAAGCTCCCTGAGCTCAGATTGATGAAATAATGACACGTAGAACAAACTGGAACCTGACTGAAAGCCTGGAGTCAAGCGTAGCAAAGTAAAGCCACAGCTAACTGGCAGACCTGTGAGCACGAAATAAATGTTTATCATTGTAAGCCACTGAGATACTGGGATTGTGTGATATGCAATACTGTCATGGCAGAAACCTAATTAATATGCCTCCTCAGTGACAGGATTGTAATTTACTTCTTCTGGCATCAGCACCTAGGTGGACACATAGTGGGTGCTCAATGAAAACTGGTGAGTTAAACCCAGTAAGTGACATTCCTCAGGTTAACAGCTGAAATGGACAAAACCATCAAAGTTGCTTCTAAAGCAAAAACTTCTAAAATGAGTGAATCTGATACCGAATGAGTAAACAGAGAAGCATTGAGAAAGCTAGCTAGGGTTGAGAGTCTCATGTGACACTTTAAGTATAAGCAATTACTTTGGGGACACCCATCTAACTTCTGCCAGATGAATCTCCTTTGCAGGATGACCTCACCAAAACTGGCAAGGTTTTGAATCAAGTGAGCTGAATGCTTGTCTCATAGTATCTGATGTTTTTAAAGTAAATGATGCAATTCAAAAACGAGCAGCAGCTAGAGTAAAAAGCTAGACATTTAGCTAGATCTTTCTTCTACACAGACTTACATTCAATTTAATTCCATAAATCTATACTAACCAACTACTGAGTATTCTGGTGATGAAGGAAAAATAATATCCTACATCTGAGCCACCACAAATTCCTTTGCAACAAGGCAGCATGTAAAAATGTGCATATCCCAAGATGCCTCAACTTCATTCAGATAATGCTTTGCAACTTACAAAACCTTTTTTTCATACCTTCTTCATTTTATTTTCACAATAATATAAAAAAGAGTTTTGTTTTGTTTTGAATCCCCACCTCTGAGATGAGGGAAAGAGATTTGGCCACATGATGAAGGTCTGATAGTAAGTGACTTTCTCTCACCAATACCACAGGGTCCCGGTCCCCAAGACTTAAACACTGAAAGATGTAGGAGAAAAGCTCTGACATTCCCAAACAACACCAACATACCACTCCGGGGAATATCTTCTGGAGCCGGTCTGCTGCGGCCAGGGCCTTGGGCTTACCACCAGCGAGGCAATCTTCAAATTCATAGAGAGGCTGCCGCACAGGATTGGAGTAGGAGATTTTGGCATTGTCCACGAATGTGATGTGTCTGACACCCCATCCCTGCACAGAAACAGGAGATTGTGGCACGTTTCTGATGAATATTTCACAGGGTTTCTTTCAAAATCTCTAACAGAAGTTTTGCTTTGGACCAACGTGGGAACTTCAAAATAGAGGAAATTTCAAAAATCGAATTGTGTAAATTCAATTTTTGATAAACAGAATATCAGCTTCCTTTAAAAGACAAAATAATTATATACCCAATGCCTGATTTCTCGTACTAATGAGACTAAGAAATGTCAAAGTGGGTCTGACTAATAATTCATTACTTTTGACAGTGGCACCAGAGAAAGATTTGGAGGTGAGTCCCGTAAGAATCATCTATGTTGCTGTCTTAAAAGGATTAACAATGGCCTGAAATGTCCTCGCTTTCCCTTAATAAATACTTAAGTATAAGTAACAGCTCATCTTAAAACTCACTTAAAGCCTGAATTAACTCCTCAGAAAAATAGCTTACTAGTTATCTCTTAGTACAGAACATTGTAGAAGAGTCTGAACTATTTCTCCAAGAGGCAAAGGCCTGGAATGTAGGGGACAATTCCATATTTTCAGAAATAGTTTTCATGATTTCATACACTGCAGTTGCATCTCCTATAAAGTCCACACAATTAGACCTACACAATTTTAAAGTCAAATGGGATCTCTAAAACCCTTAGTCCAATTACTTTATTTTTCAGATATGGAAAGTGAAGCCCAGAAAAGTAAGCAATGCACCTAAGGTCATAGACCTCATGGGGAGGGAATGAGATCCCCAAATGAAGAGACCTACCTTTTGTGGAGTAAGATGGGGTGTGCTTCTTAGCAGGTCATAAATAAGGATGGTGACCTAAGAGAAGCCCTGCCATGACTGGCTACAAAACTAACATTCTGCTCTCTCTCTTATTTTCATATTCTTCCATTAGGGACTTTGAAGTTCAAGTAGACTGAGAGTTCCAGGAGGGGAGTCAACAAGAATCTAAGATGTGTTTTCAGGATTGAGAAGATAGGCTGAACCCAGCTTTTCAAAAAGCTGGTTTAGGTTGTTTGTTTTGAAGCCCACTGGGAACTCTGGTCTCATCATCCAGCTTTGTAAATGACTTTCACGACTAAGCAAGCTACCATGGAGGGATAATAAAGGTATGGAATACCCAAAGCCATTTGTGCTTGGTTTGGGGATGCTACTTTCTGAAGTATTTTTGCATTATTTAAAACAATGCTGAGTGGACAGCAAGGAAGGCAGTCTGGGAACATACTGGGCAGTGGGGAGAAATCGAAAGAAATTACAAGCAAGCCATGGGCCAGTCACATGCAGGTGGGCTGCAGACTTTTACACTTAATTTTGGCTTCCTGTAATGTTATACAGTTTAAATGGCTAATCTTCAAAAATTAAAGAAAATTATAATACTCAATGCTGGTAGTATGTGGTGATGAAAAAACTATTTTACTAATTTTCTGGAAGGTAATTTGGCAATATGTTTCTAGAATCATTAAACGTTCATATCCTTTGACTTACTTCCAGCAATCTATCCTAGGAAATAATCTGAAATACTGACAAAAACACAGTCACAAAGATGTTCTCTACCACATAATTTATAGTTGTAAAATACAGGTTAACAATGTTAATGACTAAAATCAAGGGAATGTCTCAGTAAACTATGTTTTTTCATATAAGACAGCCTATTTTCCACAGCCATTAAAAAGGCTTTATAGGCATCATTTTTAATGACATGGGAAAGCATATCCTATGTTAACTGATAAACACAAGGGACATTATTATATTTCAAATAAGATTTTAAAATATATATTAAACAAACACTGTAAGGAAATAAGTGTTAAAGTGGTAGGAAAACAGGTGTCTTCTTTTCCTGTTTTATAACTTTCACACTTTACATATTTTCTATAATGAGTCTACACTGGCTTTATAGTTTTAAAAAATATTAAGAAAACCTAAGCAGCACCTGATTCAGAAACCTGAGGAAAGAACACTAAAAGATATTCTATAAAAGAGGAAGAACTTAATAAAGATACATATAGATATTAATCTGAAAAAAAAGCAAGACAAAAACAAAAATGATAGAGTTAATAAATAAAGCAAGGATTTAGTTCTTCAAGAAGACTGATAACAACAGACAAGCCTCTCTGGTAAGTCTGAACTGAAAAAAAAAAAAAAAAGGAGAGGACATACATGTACAGCATTAGGAATGAAGAAAGATTAAGGAGACAGAGAAGATTTAAAAGAGTAAGAAAATACCATATGTACTTTATGTCAATTAATTTTAAAATTTAGATGAACAGAAGAAATAAAATTCACAAAAGAAACAAAATTAAAGACACCCTCATTAATAACAGAAATGCAAATTAAAAGCTGTATTTCTTATGTGTCTCTAGGAGTACAGACTAGTATGACATTTTTGGAAGGTAATGTAGTTTGAAAAATAAATATATATAAAGTACATTCTCTTTAGCATAATAATTCTACTGGGCTTTTTTCCTAAAGAAATAATCCCATGGATATAAATTATAAAAGTATAAGAATGTTCATCTCAACAGCATCTCAAAAAAATACGCTGAAATTGATTAAATAAATCGAGGGCACTGTCATACAACAAATACTACCCACACATAATACAGAATACACAGAAAGAGAAGTCACAGTTACTTTTCTATTAAGAATAAAAACTTACTAACATTTGTAAATAATCCAACTTTTATAAATATAAATAAATGACAAATGTCTCTATATTTGTATATGCCCACAAAAACTTCAGGGCAGATATACTGCCTACAAATCTAAGATATCTCCTTAATTCTGGGAAATGGGACTTGGGATGTGGGTGGACAGAGACGTCCTCTTTCTACCTAGTAATAAAAGTGTGTACTCCTCACATAATTAAAAAGATAGTGAGGAAAGAAAAAAGAAGTGAGAGAGGGAGGGACAGAGGAGAAAGGGAACCTGAGAAATGGAAGGCAATCAGGAACAGTGAAGTAACAAGAGAAGCCACAGCTTCAAAGGTACATTCAGCCCCCACAAACTTACCATCAACGTCCTGGCTACATTACAACCCAAGGTGCCAGCTCCAAGCAGCAGACATTTGGCAGATACAACTTTGTCTAAGTCCAAAGTAGGAACCAATCTCCAACACATCAATTTGAGATTTAAATCCACTGATGACTCAGCTAACCTAGAAAATGAGAGAATTATTTGCTCAGTCACTCATTTATGCCCTAATCTTGTCCTGAAAAGATGGAAAATAGCTGCCTAAGAAAGTGAGAAGCAAATACTATGGAAATCCAGATCTGAGGGAAAGTAAGATGAAGCCTGAAAGAACACAGGAAAAGAGAAATGTTACTGCACAGAATACATGCCACTGCAGTCCTCTGCAATTGCCAGTGATAGGCCGCAGATTTGAGACTGAGCTCCTAGCAGTCAAGGTGAAAAGGGAAGCATGACCAGTTATAAGACTTATTATGTCTATGAATAAACCAGCTGCTAGGAGGAAAGTTTGTCTTAATACTGAAAACACACAAATTTCTTCCATTTCCCCTCAATAAAGGGTACACTTGTATCATATCTTAAACACAATACTGGTTTCCATGAGATATTTCTTATAATGTCCTTCATGGCAGGCAAATAGGGCTAAATTAAAGGGCAACAAATAGAGGCCTAAAAGTTGGTGTAGATATAAAAGTCTGAGAATCTGAGCTCAAAGCAAGAACAAAATTTAGAATCTCTAAAGAAGAACAGATGATGTGGGCCCTTCAGGATATCCATCATTAATATTAATTCTCACAACCAAACTTAAATTAAGAGTCAGGCAGCAAACAGCAGAATAACATTCATTATCAATGTGAATGGCACCCCCTTCATTGGATGGGCAAAATGCAGTGGGCCTGACAGGACCTTGGAGGGGGGTGTCCTGGTTACAAAAAGCCCCCCTGGAGATAACAGCTTCTCAAATATACCTTTTAGGGTCCATACATTCACTGAGATTCACCATTCTTGGTCCCATGCCTCCTTTCTGGTTCTTTTCCCATCCGACTGCTTTGGGGCAATCTTAAGGCAAACAAAAACTGTTAGCTTAATGAAGGAGGGAAGGATGCAAACACAACAAGCAAGCAGTAAGATGGCCCACACACTGGGAAGTTTCTAGGTCACTTCTTTCTGAAGGAGCTGGAGGGCAGGAATTTGCATCTGCTTGCCTGCATCTTCCTGGCCTGCAGGGAATCTTGTTTAGGGACCATAGTACCCAGGCATAGTCCTCTTGCAGAGGGGCTTCTCAACTAGCCCTAGGCTCTGGCCCGAGTTACCTCAACTTCTGCAGTCACTGGAAGCTGCTCAGAATACTTGTCCTATCTGAGGCATGGCCCTGGTGTTGGGCTCTCTCTCTAAGGAACACAAGCCAGTGTGACTGCAGCACACCTTTCGCTGATTGCCATGGGGATTTGAACCTCTACATTCAGTGTGTCCCTTCCATTCCTCATCCTTACCTGTCCGTCTGCTCAGCCTCTCAACTCCCATCACTGTGCACCTACCCACATTCAGTCCAAGGGGGCGGTCCCTCTGCCAAGCTGCCATCTCCTTTAAGCTCATCCACCCATTCAAGCTTTCCCCGTCCCTGACCTATCTCTTCTCCGCCGACCTCCTTGAACCTCTGCTGCACGTGCCTCTGTAACTCCAGTCCCAGCAGTTCTCAAAGTGTGCCCTGTGTGATGCTCTGAGAGGATAAGCATCTTATGACTAACAGACTTGGGAAATACTTCTAGACCCATATCTATGTTCTATATCCACCCCCTACCACCACCCAAACTTGCAGATTCACATTGCACGTGAGGGAGATTAAAGCTTTGAGAAGCTGCAGTAAAGGAACCACTTTATATGATTTGGCTTTGTGTTTCCCAAACAGCCTGGCTCTCCTTACCTCCCTCCTTCACCCTAGAACAGCAATCACAGTCTAACAGGACACATTCAGGAAATGCTGCTTGGCTCTACTATTGCAAAATTCTCTTAAAAAGTCCCCGTTGCTTTACAGAACACTCCTGCTACCTTCCTCATCTCAGTGGAAACCTGGTTTCCTTGGTGGTAACCTAATAGAGGCCATGAACTCTCTTACACTCCCCACACCTCAGACCTCTGTCACTCTCCCTTTCTCACTGAAATTCACAATAAAACCTCCGCTTCTGAGCAGGGAATTCACTCAGCTACCATCTGTCCTTCCAGCAGCCTCCAACACCTGCCTTAGGTAACAGAAACTGAAGGAAGAAATTCCTTGACTTAATTGAAGAGGTACAGGACTATTGGGAGGTATCTTAATGTTTGTTTCTAATTGTACACTGGTGTTCTTTGGCCATTCTCCTACTTTTAGGTTGCTACCAACATCTCGAGATATTTTCCTTTCCTTGGGAACTTTTTAGTTTTGGACCTTTGTTTTTTTAAAACAGTGTTGCTCAATAAAATTACGGGACCTAGAAGATGTAGGTTTCTTTTGCATGATCTTTTCTTTCTTGGGCACAATGACCAATGGAAAATCATGGGGAAAAAGTCATTATCCTCCAAAGCAGTTGGGCCCCAGTTTGGCTATGGGTATCATTCACAGCAAGAAGCCATAAAACAAATGTCCCTTCCTTTTTTAACTTGGACACTCTGGTGTGGCCTTTTTTTTTTTAATGTCATGAAAAATTAAAACTGATGTAATATATCTGAGTTCTTAAAAAGGTTAAGGCTTCAAAATTATTTTTCTGGGAAAAAGAGTTCAAACGTGTTACTAATTCATATTTGTTTGATTTCCTTACTCTTCTTAGATCAAATAAAAAATGCTTCTCTACTGCAAAGCACAGAAACTTGACAAGAACTTCAGAACCACAACCTAGTACAATAGTTAATCACCCTGGGCTAATAAGCTTTCTCCTGTTACAGGTAAGAAATGGTAAGACAAAAACAAAATTTCCTTTCAAATGAAAACATCTCTGTATTCAAAATGTTCCAGCCCCTCTAAGAAAACTGGATGGACTTTAAATGTATTGATGATGAAAAAAAATATTAGATATGGCAATAATGTTTAATCTATTATATCTGCAACCATAAAACATACCCCAAATTAATGGAAGAATACTTTTGGGTAAAAATTAGGTCCTGTTTTCCCACCGTTGTTGGGCCACCAGCAGGAGCACATCAAAGACTGGGTCAAAAAGAGGCTCCTGCTCTCAGCAGCACCAGCTGCTTCCTTCAGCCAGATGCTGGAATCCCTCTTTGTGTCAGCAGTGAAGAGGGGGCCTGGCTGCACCATCAGGAGTGAAATAAGATATGGGATATTTAAAATAATACTTCTTATGCCATCGCCATTGCAACCACGGGATGTCTTAGAAATAATCAAAAGTACCACCATACTAACATCTTCAGTTTACATTATGAAACAGAACAACTCTTTATTTATTATAAAGTTTTATTTACAAAGAAGAGGAAAAAGACTAATTTACATGGAAAAAAGGAAAAGAAACTTTGCCTTTCCTGGACGAAATAACATACACTCAATACCAAGCATAATGGCATTACTGGAGGATAGAAAACCTCTTTTTCAAATGCAAATGTGAACATTTCCTAGCTTTGCCAGCATCACCAAGCATTATTATTGGGAGCCACGAACAAGAGCAATACAGTGACGCCCTCATAAAAATGGAAACAGAAGTGCCTCCCCTGCAGGTTGGCTGGCAGGATTAAGTGAGGAGGAAGTGTGGAAGGTGCCCAGGGCCCTGCCAGGCATACAGCAGGCATGCTTTACTTGTCAAGTGTCATCTCATTTCCCTGGAGCTATCTTCAGATGGCAGCTTAATAAGTTATTGCATGCAAGTTAACATTACACAGGGGCTATTTTAGAATGTGCCAGAAGAGGGTGCTAAATCAAATGCACATATTTAAAGACAGCAGAGAAGCAATGGATTCCATAGGGCTCTCAACTAACAAGTCGCTGCCTCCTCCTTCGCCTGACCAAACCCAGCCCTCTGTTAATCTTTCCCAGGAAATCCACTTGCGTCGTCCATCAGAGCTGCAGCACAGAATCACTGACGAAACGCCATCAGAGGCAATCCTGAATCCTTTCGACTTCTGCACTCTAGAGATGACATCTCAGAAGAGATGTTAATGCTTTCCCCACTCCTACCCCGCAAACACTCAGGGAGGCACATGGCCCAGGGATGAAAGGAAGCACTGTGGAAAGAGCACTGGGTTTGGGGTGAGATATGAAGCTAACATAGATGAGCATTATTAATACGACAGCTAATGCCTATACTATCCCTGTAATACACCAGAAATTGCATTCCGCCTTTTATACAGAACACGGATTGCTCATACAGGGTAGGTATTCCATGAGGTGGGTAGTATTACCTTTATTTTACTCATATTTGATGTGTTCTACCTATGTGACATGTGCATAAATATAAACATATAAATGTGTGTATATGTGTACCCACATATATGTCCATATATACAAAATGTCTTTGAACATACGTTTCCTAATTTATGAAATGGGGTGATAGCTGGTGTCTACCACACAGGATCAAATGAAGAATATTAAAGGTGGAAGGAGAAACGGCCATTTGCTGACTGGCTTACTATGTGAAGAACAGGATCACATGCAACTTTAAGTATGCAACAAATAAGTATATTAGGGCATTAACGCTGCATTCTTTCTGTAAGAAAGGTCAGGAATAAAGATTTTATGCCAAGCAAAATCAAAACCACAAACTAGAGGGGAAAAATTCTCCAGATTGAAAAAACCGCCTGGAGGAAATATCCTGGAGGCAATCTTTGCCTTTGTTCCTGTCTGAATAGCTGAGTGTGCCCTGCGCCCTCTGTTCATGGGAGGTGTCCCCACTTGCAAAGAGGTAAGAGTTGTACTTTTCCCTACTTTCTGCTGCCATTGTGAAGGGATGAAAGAAAAGTTAAACATGATTTGGTTTCTGATAAATGATAATTACATGCGTTCTCAAAGTCTGGCAAATTACCTGGGCTAAATGCCATTTCTGGAAGCTTCACTTCGAAGATGATGCTGTGGGCGACATCTCTCACCCCCTGCATGGTGCGGTCCCGGAAGCACAGGACTTCCACAGACTGGAAACTGCTACTCCTGAGAGCAGGCCCCAGATCGTTATTTATTTATTTTAAGGAAGGAAAAGAAAGACCTCACATAAGAGCTTCAGCAAACCCAGTTGGAGAGACTTCAATTCATTGTAATTATGCCTCCCTGAAATCCTCCGGAGATGGCCTTAACCTCTGAGAGATTCTGAACACAACCACATAAGCTTCCTTTGTCCAAATGTTCAGAGGCTGAATGCTGAATTGGCTGTGATTTCTTTCTAGGTGGGTTTTATGTAACAATCACATTGCACATAAATAATTCTGACAAATGAATCTTAAATGCAGGGGAAAAAAAGAACATCTAAGACATACCTGAGTTCTTCTGGTCCTCCTTCTCCCCACCTGAACTTGTATTCTATGAAACAGCACTTTGGTCAGCAGCTAGGAAGCCCATCTGCACTGGACTCTCCCTGGGTAAGTAAGTATAACCATTCTCCTCTGGGGACAATCTATAATTTAACTATCTTCATTTTTTTAATGTAAACATTTTTGTTTAAGTAAAACAGACACAAAGACAAGTATACAAATTCTAAAATTAAAGGTGCTTGTCTCATGCCTTCTCCCAGGCATTAACCACCCCCTTTAAAAGTAACTACCGTTCTGACTTCTAAGCCTGTATACAGGTTTGCCTACACAGATGGAATTATAGGGTACATATTCTCTTGGGTCTAGCTTATTTCGCTCAACATCATGTTTTTTAAACTCACCCACATGGACATGCGTATCAGTACCATCGGGACACCACAACCATTGCCATGAATGCACCACAATTTATGCTCTGTGTCATTGTCAAAGGAGCTCTGGGTATTTCCAGTATTTGGTTATTAAGAATGCTGCTGCTATAAACATTCCTGTATGTGTGTTTTGCTTGTATCTGAGTATGCATTTCTGTGTGTTATATACCTGAGAGGGAAACTGCTGAGCCACAGATATATTTTAACTTTGGAAGATACTGCCAAACAGTTTTCCAGCAGCGTTTAGGAGTTTGACTGATCCACACCTTCAACAACCCTTGGCACTGCCTTCCTTTTTCAGTCATGCTTGGTGGGCTGTGTGGTAGCATCTCATTATGGTATCTCATTATCTCTATTAATGAGGAGTATCTCATTATATCTCATTTCCTTGATGACTAAGGATGTTGAGCATCTTTTCAAATATATATTGGCCTTTTAGACACCCTCTGTTTTAATTCTTTTAGGATTTGGAAAAAAGGAGGCTGGAAGCAACAGGAGAAATCCTATGTGAAAGCGACCCAGACAGCTGAAGGGAGAAATGGAGAATTTCAGGGTCAGGCCCCCTGGCTGCTCACTCTGCCCTACTCTCTAAAATATCTTTAGTGCAGTATGGTCAGAGATGGGAACAGAACAGACCTGCGTAGGGGCTCACCACTGGTGGAAATGGGATCACGTCTGATTTATTGACTTATTGTTTGATTTCTTTGCCAGAAATAAAAAAAAAATGCATTTGGGGGAAAGAGAGATACAGATATAGGCATGTCAAAAACATACAGACAAAAAACAGACACACACAAATACCATCTGTGGGCTGCTAGGACCAAAAAATTCCTCAAAGGCCATCCAGGGTACTCGGCTAAGGTACAGGGGTCATAGACACCAACTGTCACCTGTGAACAGAAAAGACTTCCTCAGTGAGTGAAATGCCATGCCAGATTCAAAATGCAGACATTGCTAATACTTCCTCTTCCCTTTTAATGCTATTTGCAAAAGTATCAACAATGAGATGTTAGGCGAAGGGCTAGAAGGAAGTGACACAAAAGAATTTCACACCAGAGAACAGAACTCCTTGCAGCAAGGGGCTGCCAGATTCTTCTCTGCCCCTGGGCCTTGCACTGGGCCCAGCAGAGGAGGAACTGGGTACCTTTAGGAGGGAAGATTATAAGGAAGATAGGGAGGTTAGGAGGAAGGACGGTCAATTGTCAGGACTCAGAGCAAAAATCCTCTCTCAAAGAGACATAATGTGAAAACTGCTAACTTTAATGTAATGAAACAACTCAAACAAGGACCTACCACTGCGGTCTACAGTCAGATCAAATTAAAAAGCCAGATGCCCTTGATATTGCTCACATACATTTCCTCTCTCTCCCTCCAACCCTTGTAGTCTTGACCTCTGTCTGGAACACTCTATTCAACTTCAAATACCATTTCTTCAGTGAAGACGCCTCCTGGTGGAAGTAGTCACTCTCTTCTCTGCTTCCACAGCACTCTGTATATATACACACCATTTTTTACTCTTCCTGTCTCTTTCCTCTTAAAAGACAATGAGCACCCAGCACCCAGATCCTGATTTCTGAATTCCACTCTCCAATAAAAGGAATCTGGGCTCCTTGGACAACTGGCTAACTCTAGGGCTGAGGCAGGGAAAATACAAGAAGAGTTTGGAGCATGTAGTATACTGGAAAGTAAGGAAGTGCTCAGTAAACAAAGGGATGGGCATGTCAAGGGGACCCTGGAAACAATTTGAAGAGTATCTATGGGTCCATACTGATATAGATAATGGAGTAAATAAATACATGAAGGTGAAGGGCAAGTCTTCTTACAGAAGACTTCCAAACAACCTAGGCAGACACTGCCCCCTGCATGAGTATAGTCCTTCTCTTCCTTGAGAGTGAGCTTGTTTCCAGCATCAAGGGAACTTCTACCAACAGAGCTTGAAGACACTCTCTTAGTGCCCCTTATGGAATGAGTGGCTTTAGGGCAAAGTAGTTAACTCCTCCAGGCCTTGGTATTTTTACCTGAATCATGGGGAAAATAATAATACCTACTTCACAGAGCTGTGGTGAGAAATAAAGGAGATGCTATTGATAGTGCAAAGCTCTGCACATGTGTAGGTGCACTAATGTCATCACTAGTGGCTCCGCATCTTCAGCGGTGAGCCTTGCTGTCTGTATGGCTGAGGAATTCTGATGTAGTTGGACCAGTCCACAGACTGAAATTTGGCAATTGTTAGAACAGGTGGTCTTGCGGACAAAAGAAAATAAGTGTCCACTGGGCCATTTTTCACTACCTTGAAAACTCTGGATTGGTTCTACGTCTGTCACACTCTGCAAAATGTGGCCCAGGCACCAGCAGCAGCAGCTGGGAGCCTGTCAGAAATGCAAACTCTCAGGGGCCCCCACCCCTAGCCCTGATGAATCCGAATCTGCATTTTAACAAGGACCCAGGTGATTCATGTCCAGCTGCAGTCTGAGGGGCACAGCTCTGCTCCCCAACACTCCCTAGACCACATTCTCAAGTGTAAATACACACAGTAATTGCCTGGGGAGCTTTCAAACTGCTGCTGCCTGGGTCCCACCTCCAGAGCTTCTGATTTCACCAGTTTGAGGTGTGGCTTGAGCATCAGTTTTAAAAACTCACCAGATGATTCTAATGTAGAGCTGAGTTACATATCACTGCTGGAGAGTGTGCAGCAATTTCTCAAAGTGTGATCCACACAGATTGCCTATGTTGAGAATTGCCAGGGTAGCTCTTTGAACTTGCACCCCACCCTTGACCCCAGCCCAGACCTCCTTAAGTACCAGTACCTGCAAATTCAGTGACCTTATGCACACTACCATTTCAGCACTAGCTGCCTAGGGTCTAAGGAAGAGAACACCAGTGCTGGCTTCAAATAGGGCTCACTACAGCCTATATTTTTCCTATGGAAACTGTGATATTTGTTGAAACCATGGTATTTTATTGATTCAGAGGCACCACTGATTATAAAATGCACTTTCAACTTGGACTGAAAAAAAAAAGAGGAAACATCACCACATTAAATATACACAGTATGACTCCATAGCATCTTACTATGCTGATGGACAGTGACTGTAATGGGGTATGTGGTGTGGACTTGATAATGGGGGGAGTCTAGTAACCACAATGTTGCTCATGTGATTTTACATTAATGATTCCAAAAAAGAATGAAGTGAGTAGTGGGTGGGTGGGAAGGGTGAGGGGGATGAAGGGGCACAAAAATCTCAAAAATATATATATACACACAGTAACTGTAAGAAATCCCTGACTTTACAAAAACTAAAATAGGAAGAAAAAAGCATTTTAAAATGGTGAAAATATAGGATGCATGTCACATCTGTTTCTCTTGCTGGCCTATGGGCTCTGTAAAGACAGGGGTAGTCTACCATAGTCATCTTCCCATGCCTAGTGTCTGGCAATGTACCTGGTAATCAGCAAATTTTATTGAATAAATGACAGAATTGGCCCATCTCTCCAGGCCCCAATATACAAAAGCTCCCCCAACCTTTGGGCAGGGATCCTTGGAAGGGGAAAGGTAGGTGACATAGGCCCAACAGAGACCTGAAGCTTACATATAAAACTGATAAAGCATCTCAGGTAGTTGCTTTTCCTCCCTTCTGTCCTTTCTCACCTTTATAGGTTCTCCATTCAGTGACATTTTAACACTGGGACTCTTCTGGGTAAGAATGGTAGAGTATGGTCCAAAAGAGGATTTGCTATGAGAAGCAAGGGAACTCCGGGAAAGCCTAGCACTCTCCCCTGAGTTCTTCTGGTCTAGCTGGCCAACGCCACCACCTGGGACACCTTTTTATTTTGTTCTCTGTCATTCACGACAGACAATATCTGTTAGACAAATTACATTTGTCAAGTAACCATTGCTTCAGCTTCACATTTTAAAAAATTCATCAAAGGCATTTGCAACTCCGTATTCAGCAAGAAAAGAGGAAGGGAAAAACTGACATTCTACTTCTGTAACATCTGAAACAGCTTAGAGGAAGAAAATGACCTGCCCCAGGGAAAAAAGCACTGGCTGGAGCTTGGACAGGCCTGTACTCTAATTCTGCAGCTCATTGATTTTCAGACCTTGGAGTTTAAGGCCTAATGTAGGGAGGGAAAAAAAAAAGATCCTGAGGAAGTTCCTTCCTCACCTACAAACTGAAGGAATTGTATCATGTCATCTCAAAGGATTCCTTCAAGCTCCAGAATTATGGGACATTATAGAACATCAATGAGAAAAAAAGTCCTATACAGGTTATAAGACAACACAGACTATATTAAGGCTCAATCTTACAGGGTGTCTAAAGGCTATTCAGTTTTTATTTAGGAAGTTTGGACAGTATCAATCCAGAAAATGTCCTTCATAGAGAGATTTTGAGTTTCCATTTTCAAAAGTGGGTTCTTATCAAATGCTGTGAGTTACTTAGTCTCACCACCTTCAGCAATTCACTAACCTCTGGAGGCCTTAGTTTTCTCCTCTCTGGGTAACTCTCACCTACACTTAGCAGAGAGCCTGGGAACAAGGCAAGCACTCAACAAATGGTAACTGTAACAACAGCATAAATAAACGCTATTGTAGGCATTTCATTCAACTCTTTGTTCAGTTCCATCTATCACCATTACAATTATCTACCTTCAGTTTCAAGGTTATCTTTCCTTAGCTGCAGAGAAAAGAAGGGGATAAATTCTAGTGTATCAAACATTCTCTTGGTCTAGATTTTACCATCTGCAAATGCAGAGTTCGGACCAAGTGATATTTAAATTACAGAAATTATAATGTTATATTAGACACTACAAATGAATGTCTAATTTCAAATGGGCATATTTCTGAGACTAAATGCAAAGGCAATGAGGTAGGAAGGTAATAAGAAAAAAAAGGGATCTTTTTTTGAGCAGAAAAGACCAGGAATAAGTTTCTTAGAGCAACCTGACCCAAGATTTGCTGTATAGCAGGAATGCACTACTAAAGAGAAATCTATTACCCACAAAGGGAGGTCAGCTTAAAAATGCTTTAAACTAACCCTCCTACACACATGAGGCATGCAAGAGGATAAAAGGCAAGCCTCGGACAGGAAAACGACAGAATCCATCAGACACTAGGCTGAACGTCATTTAGCATTTCTTTGATGATTCGAAAGTGATTGCAAAAAACTTTAAATCTTTAAGTGCTTGAGGAACCAAATCAGGAACCTCAACCATTGCAGTAATTAGCATAAATGCTAGGTAACAAGCTTAACTACTTCAGTCAACAGTTTTTTCTGCCAGTCAGAAATAATCATTGGCTAGTTCTGGGTTCTAGAATTGGCTTTGTCACAAAAGCATTGTGTGATCTGGGGCAAATTGCTTCCTTTCAAAATACAAATCAGCAGAAGGAAGCAACATATAACTGGGGGAAAAAACTTTGTTTAAAAGGTTTAGGAAATAAATGCTCCTTTCTATTTGGCTTAGAGCACACAATCCATTCAAGTGGTACAGTCATGATCTGGCTGCAGTCCACCCACCTATTTGTTGAAAAAGTATAACATGAGAAAGAAGAGAGCAAAATTGTCAACTTGAGTGTCCACAGCTGGAGAAATGTCCACACTGATCCCATAAAACATACTTATCTGAAAAATGGCTGTCTATTACGTAAACACTTGATATAACAGGAAATGCAGAAAGGAGATTACAGTTTTTAAAAGTACAGGAAAAAAATTCAAATATCTAATGCACAGCAAAGTCACAGACGGCTGCCAAGATGCAGGGATCACTCAGTGAAGAAAGCCGCACTAATGGCACGCCAGTGTTGCTCCTTTGCTGGTGCTCTTGTCCCAAGATTTTAAAGCCCTAGAATTATAAGCTAATGCTGTGGAAATTACAAGACATTTCCCAAACA